TATCTTGAACAATCGGAATGTCACCCTGTTGACATGCCATCGAAGCATCACTTGGTTAATATGCCTGTCGAAAGACACTTTGTATGCCCTAAATCAAGACAACCTTACTTAAGATGTTCGTCGAAGCTTCCTTGTTTGAGATGTCCATTGAAAGGCCCTATGCCAATCGAAGGACCTTTTACAGATGCTAATGCAAGGGCACTTTGTAGATGCCAATCGAAGGATACTTAACCATTATTCAAAAAATTTCCTTTTCTTTAGGTAAAGGTTTGTAATCACTTATGCAAGAGAAAATCTTGGAAAAACATGAGAGGGCAAATTTTGGGCTACAACACATTGCATATGCATCTACATACCATATGTATCATTACATAACAGGTTTCCAAGACAGGTTTTCTTATCTTCTTGTTGTTTATTTCAGTAAAGATGGCTCTCAGACAAACAATCAAAGATCTTCAGGCCTAGAATGCTCAGTTCCAAAAAATGTTCCTCAACTTAGCCAAGGGGCGGGAAGAACTGATGACCCTCATCACCAAAGAGTGGAAGAAAAAGACAAAGAAATCGATTGGCATCCTCAACATGGGAAGAAGGTTCATAGGTCCTATCAAGCAAGCTTAAGACTGTGATATCCCATCAAATAAAGATGACAACCAGGGTGAAGATGGTAAGAGTGTGAAGGCTAAGAAAGGAAGCAACCTTGGTTCTGGCCAATATTATTAAGATGAAGAATACTATTCGGACGAACAATATTCTCCTCCCGATGAAAAATACAAACAGTTGGAAGATTGTTTAAATGATATGAAGATCCAGAGGGTGCCTAGATTGGATTTTGAAGAGCTGGGTTTAGTCTCAGGAGTTGTCATTCCTTACAAATTCAAGGTCCCTACTTTTGCAAAGTACGACGATGTTTCTTTCCCTAAGCTTCATTTGAGGTCTTATGATCGAAAGATTCAACCACACACTGCGGATAGGAAGTTATGGGTGCATTTCTTTCAAGAGAGCCTATCTGGGACACAATTGGAATGGTTCTATCAACTGGAAGGAACCAATATCCGTACTTGGGAAGATTTGTCTGCTGCTTTCTACAAACAATACCAATACAATGTCGATCTTGCACCAACCCGTCTGCAACTACAGAGTATGACCATGGGATCGAACGAAGGCTTTAAGGAGTATTCCTAAAGATGGAGAGATCTAGCAGGAAGATTTTAACCTCCTTTGTTTGATAGGGAGTTGGTTAACATGTTTATGGGAACTCTGATAGGTCCTTTCTTCAATCATCTGATCAAAAGCTCTTCAGTCAGATTCACCAAGCTGATATTAACAGGGGAACATGTTGAAGTTGGAATCAGAAGTGGAAAAACTCAGGTGGCTGCATCTTCAAGTACTATGAAGAAGACATTACACAGGAACAAAGAAGCTAATGATGTGTATAGCCATAAGGGATGTAGTGGAGGCTACTGCAACCAATCCATAGGGGCTATACTAATCTCTAATCCCGCACCAACGTAACATCAACAAGGCAATCAACGCAGGTCGGACACACCCAGGAGACAATTTACCAAGATCAACATGCCATTGTCTCACGCATTGCAACATCTATTGAAAGAAGAGCTGATTACATTGAGAGATCCTCCTCATAATCCCAACACTTCCTCTCCTCGATACAATCTCAATGTAAGATGTGCCTATCATTCCAATAGTTCCAGACATGACACAAATAACTCTGGGCTTTGAAAAATAAGATTCAAGGTATGATTTACTCCAAAGAGATTGAATTTGATCCTCCCGAGACCCCTAATGTGATTACTGCACCTATGCCTAAGCACGACAAAGGCATTAATGCTATCGAAGATGTTTCTTATGTTTCCGTTGTAAGAGACTTGATTACTCCCTTCATGACTGTTAAGAAGAATTTGTTGCAAGCCGGTTTATTTCCGGGTTTCATTGAAAGATGCTACTACCGTGTAGCCTAATCCAATGGCTGCAAACCGTTGAGAGAAGGTATTCAGGGTTTAATGGATAACCATATAGTTCTAGTTGAGAAGATTCCTTCCATGGAAAAATTGTTTCAAGACTTGGAATTTTAAGACGTGTTTGTAATTTCTAGAACTCCTGTAAGGATTTCTTTCAAAGGCCCTGTGAAGATTATGGCAAAACCTAGAGTTGCTCCTTTGATCATTACCACACCGGGGCCAATTCCATATTCTTCTGACAAGGATATCCCCTGGAATTATGGAGCTGATGTTTACTACCATGGTGTTAAGAAAGAACCATTGGTTGTTGAAAGTGGAAATACTAAAGTTATTGATCCCAACATTGGAAATATTGGCGGGACCAGTAAGGTTACCAGAAGTGGAAGGATTGTCTCTCCAGAAATCTCTCTAAAGAATGTTGCTACACCAGTTCATGTTACTGCTACGGAGTCAACTCCTAAGACTCGAGGAAAAGAACAAATGACTGAGCCTTCCCAGACGAAGGCGCCTAAAGAAGTTACCATTGAAGATAACTCTCGACAAGAAATGGAGGAAGTATTGAAAATCATCCGGAAAAATGACTATAAGATTATTGAATAGATGGGGAAGACTCCCTCCAAGATATCCATGTTATCCCCGTTGTTGTGCTCTGAAGCGCATGCCCAGGCTTTGGTGAAGTTCCTAAAATCCCTCACGTACCGCAGGAAATTTCTGCTGACCAATTTGAAAATTATGTTGCTAGCCTGACGACTGATAATGGGTTATGCTTTTCTGATGCTGATTTGACTCGTGGAGGAAGAAACCATAACAAGGCCCTGCATGTCTCTATTGTGTGCAGGGGCACTACCTTAGCTTATATGTTGGTTGACACGGGTTCCTCATTGAATGTTTTACCGAAGGGAGCTTTAGACAAGCTTGACTATAAAGGGATTGTGCTGAAACCTATTGACATTATGGTTAGAGCCTTTGATGGTTCAAAAAGAATGGTGCACAGAAAGGTGGATCTTCCAATCAAAGTAGGCTTGCAGGTCTTCGACTTTACCTTCCATGTGATGGACATTCGCCCGACTTATTCATGTTTACTTGGACGCCCTTGGATTCATGGGGTAGGCGCTGTTACTTCCACTTTACATCAAAATCTGAAATATCCCGAGAAAGGAAAGATTGTTACGGTTTATGGTGAAGAAGAGTACATGGTGAGTCACTTGAACTCCTTTAAGTATGTTGAGATGGATGGAGAATTCATCGAGACTCCCTGATAGACCTTTGAAGTTATTCCCGGACCACTACTATTACTGAAGATGTTTATGCTATTCCTAAGGTTACCAGGATTCCTCCCACAATGGCTTCTCTGAAAGACGCTAGAGCTGTAGTAGAAGAAGGTGGTTTCACTACTTAGTGTCAGCTTCCCGACATTCCCTAAAAATATGATAAATTTGGCTTGGGTTTCACTGCAGAGGCTCAGAGGGTTGTTCATCGTACTAGTGCTGAGAGACCACCATTTTGCATCACCAACAATGGAGTTAACGTGATAGAAGATGCCGATAGTGACTATGATCTAAACAATTGGATTTTTCCTACCATCGGCAACAGGCTCAGTGATTGGAAGACTGAAGACATTGTACCAATCTCCTTTAGTCATGAGTAAATGCTATTTTTTGTTTCTGTGCTTTCAAGTTTTTTTGGTTATGTAATTTTAAAATAATAACTTTAAGCCTTGTGCCTTACCCCGGGCACAACGGTCCATATGTTAGGGTTATCATATTTCATTTACATACAAGAAAAATGATAGATTGGGACGGTTATTTTGGCTGATTACGACGGTTAAAACCGTCGCAATTTACAATCTACGACGGTAGAAGTACCGTCGCAGAATCGTGCGTCCCCAGCCTATTTCGCGACGGTTGCAAAAACTGTCACGCACAACAGATAGCGACGGTTATATACCGTCGTGAATTTGACTTTATTTTTTGTTTTTGTTGTTGTTTGCGACGGTTATTCTACCGCCGTAGGTTAGAAATTGCGGCGGTTTTAACCGTCGTAATCTGATTTATAAATTTCAAATAATATTTTTATTTAAATTATTATTTAGTAAAATAATTTTAAATATAATATTATTTTACTATTATATTTAAATTATTATTTACTTTAATATTTTTTTATTTATAGTATTTTTATTTTATTTTCTATCACTTTTCAACATAATAAAGTTAATTACAATAAAAACATTTAATATCAAATAATCATCAATAATATCAAAAAAATGTGATCAAAGGTAAAAAGAAGTGCAAATTTTACCAATAAACAAGAAAAATTCAAATATCATCAAACTCCAATTGTATGAAAAGTTATAAGGTACAGAAAAATCAACTACAACAAAATCTCCAATAAAATAAAATTCACTTTCCGCTAAGGAGAAACCTAATCAAATTTGGATATGTATCAAGGCGTCTCAAGTTCTTTAGATATGTATGATACATAAATTGAGGACATTCTTCATATAGAAGCACGTCGACACACTTTTTCAATTCCTGATAAATATAGACGATAGAAATGTCTTCATTAGTGCTTGTAAATTCCTGGATTTTAGGAATCAGATTTAAACCTAGACCTTTCTCGACTAAGCTCATTGTGAGAGCTTCAAAAACTTGGTTGATGTCTACTTGCACCATCAGTCTTCTCTATGCCCTTGTGCGAGCTAAATCAATGCCTTCCATTACTCACCAAAGCTCAGCTACAACACTACTACATTTTCCATCACAGTAATCACACAAATTATCTGGAAGATTCAAGTGGTTTAGATATTGGTTGGTTTTGATTCCATTATGATATATCATCCACACAAAAACCCTTATTCTTTTAGTAACACTCAGATTCCAAATGCCTTTCCAATGATCCTCTATATCCTTGTTCTTGGTGGAGGTATTACAAGCATTATATCCAAAAACTTCCGACTGAACATGTTCCTTAAATGGCTTCAATTCCAATTTCCATCATCATTAATTAAGTCTGCAATTGTTGTATTCACATTATCTCCAATAGGCTAATTGATGAGATCTTGGAGTCTGGGGGTGCTACAGTAATCGGACCCTCCTCAATAATCTGTTCCAGATGATTGATTATGTCATTACCGAGATTCATTCCATCGTGACAATTTGGTGTAGTAACTAGTAACAGAAAATTTTCATACCTTTTGATGCCTTCGTTGAACACTGCAATCACGGCTGTGTAAAGCTGCAACATTTCTGTACTGATCACAAATCAGTTGGACTTCAAGATGCCGGCTCTATTTAGAAGCAAGAGAGATCGTCAGCGTATGATCAAAACTCCAAAAATCAAGCTCACTCAGATCAAAGTTCAGTGGTTTATCTAACCTGGGAAGCAACTTTCATTATAAATATAGGTGATCCCGGAACTTCACCTTGAACTTGCTTGAACAATGCCCTTACCTCATCATCATTATGAACCTAAAATATCCACATGCATGTTAGATTCTTAACTTTTACCAAACAAAACACAAAAATATGATTGGCACAAGATTATCAGCATTGATCTATGTAAGCACCGATGCTTCAGATTTAACGTGTGCCCGATTTCCGATCACTTTCATGTTCTCAAATTATTACCGGTGTGAACATGTCAGTGTCAATGTCGTATGTTTGTGTCAGTGCTTCATAGGTAGATACTATACAATTTTCTACATGTTACAGAGTTGACCATAAGGAAGCAAACCTTTCTTATGCCTTTACCACCACCACCCCAAGACGCCTTGATCATTGCAGGGTATCCAACAACTTGACAATTTACTTCACAATGACACGAGATAATTTACTACACAATGATCTCAGGTCAACTAAAACACAAGCAGTAATAGACTCTCAAGGTTAGCACACATGTTAATGCATTGTAGCTAGCAATAAACATTAAACATTCAACCAAATTAATTAACTGCATTGGATTTGAACTAGAAAAGTAAAACTAAAAATTCAACAAAAATAATAAACTAATTGATGATATACATGTTGAGTTTGATTTGCAAGTAGGACAGCTAACTCTTCAGGGAGTATGAACCGGATCACTAGATAAATATGCAATATTTGTGGAGCTCATATTAGCTTCTTTAAATAAAATTGTAATCCTCCTTGGTTGTCATTGCTGCATATAAAAATAAAACACTCGATTAAAAAGAATATGAATAAGCATAATACAAAAATATAACATGAACAAAATTATAGAAACATCAAAATCATAACATGTAGTCAAACTAAGACTATTTTGTCTACTTTTTATAAGGTCTTTTTGTATGTAATATATACTTATAGAAATTAAGTCTGAACCATTGTGAAAATTTTAGACGTTAGGAAATGAAGTAAGATGTCTCATCAAAGTAAAGCTTGTTTATTCAACTAAGACCCCCAAAGAAGACTCAATTACGAGAAAGACATATAGTTCTAATTCAAGCCATCACAACCAAGAAAACAAACTAAAAATAACAATAATTCTAATTAAACCACATATATCACAATTTTTATAAGAATCTCACAATTTCTGTAAGAATCACTATTTCTGTAAAGAAAGACATACCTATTCTTAACACAAACTCAACCAACAAGAACATTAAAGTCATTTATTACATGAACATATGAACAATTTGCAACTAGCTTTTCACCGAATTTTGAAATGTTTGCGCCGAATTTTGACCTACCGTGACCAGATCTAACGGTCATCATGATTTTGTGTGATTTTGTTATAAGCATAACGCCTTTGTGTCGCGGTCGAGCCGGTTAGCGAGATGAAGAGATGAAGATTTGACGGTGCAATTTTTTATGATTGAATGGAAGAGAGAAATGAAGTACACTACAATGGGAGAAAAACTTTACATGTGAACCACTCCATGGAAGGGTTGGCACATTGGCTGCTTGAGCGATCAACGATGAACCAATTTTATCTCCCAATGCCCCCATAGATACTGCAGGAGGCCCAAGAAATACAATTCCTTTTGCTTTTAATGCATCTGGTAGCTCAGGATTCTCTGATGCATGACCCCAACCAGGCCATACCGCATCAACATGAGTTATCTCGGCAATCTGGAAAACACATTGCATTGCCGTCAGCAAAATTAACAAGTTATGCAGATCAAAATAATCACAATTACATAAGCACTGAAATCATTTAAATGACAAGAATAAATAAGCTGCAGTAATCTCATGAAGTCGACATCACATACCTCTAGAATAAGCTGCACATTGGCGTAGTTATTATTATAAGAAATTGCATCTGGAGGACAGCCCACTTCACCAATATTTAAACCCCCTCTTAACAAACCAGAAACTTTTAAGATCAAAGTTCTATCGGAAATTTCATCAAACACCTTAGATGCATCATACAAAATTGTAACATTGTTTCCAATCACAATCACAGTTGCTTCACCAATAACAACATCAGTAGCAGTTACTAAAGAGATTATAATAGATTTAGAAACAACAACACCAGTAAATATAATGTTCTAAAGAAACTTAAATATTATCAATGCACCAACCCCTATCCAATGTCGATAAGAATCTGTGAAGAGTCCAAGAGATTCCAAAACTTGAGAGTAATTAGGCCTTCAATATTACTAAAAGTAAAACACTTATAAAGTTGCAAGTATAAAAGATTACATGGTGCCAAATATCTCTAAGGAATTCATTCACCACTGTATCATTTTGTCATGGTTTTTGATGTCTTTAAGACTTCAACACAGTACTGACGCACTTCAAAAGGACCATGGCTCGATTGTATTTTAAAATTTAGAACTAGTATATTGACATGTTGCACATAAGGTTTTTTACCTCCCAACTTTGGATTGAATCCTATTATGTAATAGATGAGAAAAACCCAAACACCAACTTCAAAAAATGTAACATATGAATGCTTTAGTTGTCATCATCTTCTTGAAAAAAGTCACAGTAATAATGAATGTGCTATTCAGTCTAAGTAAGGTGTGCATAAAAAACCTTGAACGAAATTGGGATGATTCACAAATCTTATAAAATGGAAGTTACAAAGTAAAGTGCAGTAGTAGTTAAATAGAACTCCCATAGTGCAGAGGCATTCCTAAATCACATGACAATACAAACTCAATATAATCTTTAACCTTGAGATATCAGAACCTCCATGTAAACAAGTAATATATAATCAACAACATAAACATAGATACACATAAACTGATGTTGTATGATATAGAACAAAGCAATCCTCATCTACAATATCAAGAGCAGACTGACCGCTAATCAACAACATAAACATAGATACACATAAACTGATGTTGTATGAAAAGCACCTTATTGGCAGCATCAACTATATCAGCTTTACAGTACCCATTTAAAAGTGCTTCATACGCAAAAACATCAGCCTGGCCGTGCTTTTCCAAAATCTCCATGACCCGAATAGCTTTCTGGGTTTTCCACCTTAATAATATTGAAGGTTAAATAAAAGAGATATTTAAGTAAAATGTACATTAATATTTGCACCAAGTAAACAATAAAACAATAAACAAATATTTTAGATTATGACTGTTGTTTAATATCTTCATACATTAGCACAAGTCTCATAACATATAATCAATAGCATGTGAGATAAAACACTATTATCCTATCAACAAATATGAAGGGGAAAAAGCACAAAATAGAATTCAATGATAGCACTCTATACAGAAACAAGATATGACATATCAACCTATGGAGTATGGAAGGAGAAGAAAGGATGGTCCTGAAATTGATCATGAGTGTGAAATGAGGTTACTATCTTCTACTACACCCGGAGGAGACTCCGGTGGTACGGCCGATTCTTGAAATACAGAAGATTCAAGATCCAGAATCCTCCTTGCAGTTGCTTGAGATTCTTTGATTCTTCCAACTTTTCTGGATGAGTGGAATATAGAGGCAACAGCTCTTGTTGAATTGCTACTATCAATTGAATGCAAGAACTTGTCTTTGGAAAGTGTTGGCGCCGATGCAATGATGGAGCTGAATACTCCGGATTCCCTCAAACTTTGTATTATGACCTGGAGACAAGATCATCAAGAAATGTATAATATGTAGAAATAGATATAGCAACACCTCTATCTCTAGCACACTGTTGTCAATAGCGGATCACAGATTAGCAGTTTGTTCAAATTCCACAATACCGCACTGCTATAGCGCAAGCGCTGTTATGTCTGCTATTTGACAATATTTTGCATTAGATAATCGAAGAACAATAGAGATTTGTTTAAATACAGCTATGTTATAGCTCTATAACGCTCCTATAACCAATCCTACTTAAGATCTCGTGCTTGACTACATTGATTGGAACAACTTTAACTAACTTATCACTGACCGTGGGAGCGTATATGCGGGTCAATATTCCTTTCCTCAACAGTTTTATCTTCAACTCTTTATCACCCCACACAACATGCTCATTATACCTGGAACAAGAAAAAAGATCAAATGTTTCTCGAAGATCGATAAAATAATGGTTAAATTATGTAGGAGAGTATAAATGAATATAAATTGAAGGTAGCATACCACTTCAACATTTCTTCTTCAGTTGCTGTTGAAGCAATGATGAATGCCTGAAATTGATAATAAGGTCTACTTAGCATAAATGAAAGCAATGATAAATACCTAGAATCGAAAAACTGAAAAACTGAAACTTACAGATCTGTCAAATTCCAACATGAAGCATCTTTTGACATCTTCTTTGGTAGGTTTGCAACCACAACGATCACGTCTAGAAGTTAAATCAGAGAATTTGGCGTATGTGTAATGTAAAACAGCAGCTTCTTCCAATTTGATTTCACTGTCATATTTCAGAAGAATCGTCATGATACTAATTAAAAAGATCATGCACACAAAAATGTTGTATATATTGATGATGTATTATACTTTGGGGTTTTCATATAATTGTGCCATCTGTGTGCACCGTTAGGCCGAAGGTGATCTTGTACCCGTGCAACTGATTTTCCATTTCCGTAAGTCAGGAAATAGTTCGGATTTCCGCGCACAGAATCTTTGTATGTGCCAAAATATGTGTCCTTTGGAAGATGGTCGTAATTCTTCTTAAACATCGTTACCTGTTTTGACACATCAAAAGAGAAAGAGGAGAGTAGAATTGTAAATAACAAAACATGCAAACTTCATGTCAGAAATGCAGAAAAATTCTGCAGACATCCTACAAATTCAGCCATCAAACAACGCAAATGCCCTTTTCATATTTCCCAACCTACAATTCCAACTTATCATGGACGAATAAACATAAACATCAATTTCTATTTTTCTTTCACGCATTTCCTCGAATATCTTCTCCACTTCCCCAATATCACCAGAACTAGAATACCACTGAATCAAAATACTATAAGTCGCCACACTAAAAACAACCGGCTCCTTCTCCATCAACCTCAGTATCTCACCAACTCCACTTCGATCCTTTCTTCCAACATACGCATTCAACAACGTATTGTAAGTAAACACAGTCGGTTTCACAATGCTTTTAGTGACCATCTCATCCATCAACTCCTTAGCTTTCTCAACCTCTCCTCTCTTACACAAGCCATCAATCACAAGTGTCAAAGACTGAACCCTAATTTCAATTCCATTAGACTCAACCATCCGGCGGAAGAATCTAAGACACAACTCAATCTCACCACATCTCTTCAAAGCAAGCAAAAGCACAAAACAAGACCTCTCCTCTATCACGAACCCCTTTTCCTCCACATAATCAAAAACCCTAACCGCCTCTAGAAACAACCTATTATCAGAACAAACCCTAAACAACATATCACAAAGCTTGTCAACAAAATGAAACTCAAATTCATCAAGCAAATCAACGATCCCCGAAACTGGGGAGCGAAATTGGGAATCAGTAACAACGGAATTCAGAATAGTCTTGATGGTGGCGAATTTGCGAGCTTTAAAGAGTCTAGAAAAGAGAATCAAATGGGCCTTGAGGTCAGGTTTGAGTGAATGGTTGGAATGATGGGTTTTGAGGAAGTGGAAAAAGGATAAACAGGAATGCGGTTGGAGAATAGGGTCTGAAAGAACACGGTAAGTAACATGGGGGGTGAAGGTGATGCAGGAAATGATGGAGTGAAGTTCGGTGTTATTGGGTTTGAAATAGTTGGGTTTAAATTGCAGTAAAGCGTAATAGACGAAGCGGGGTAAAGGATTTAGGGGGACGACGGGTGTGGTTACCGTCGTGCCCTTTCATAACTTTTGCATGTTTTTTAAAGGTTTAGGGGGGCGACGGTTGTTTTACCGTCGTGATGTCTATTTTAGGACGATTTCTTAACCGTCGCAACATTCATTTTAGGGCGGTAGGTGTATACCGTCGTGACATGGGTCTCTATATTAGAATTACGACGGTTATTAAGTAACTGTCGCAATTTTTGTGTCGTAAAATCCTAATTTTCTTGTAGTGATATTTTCATTTAATAAATCACTGGACGTTTGCATTCAAATTTTGCAATCTTTGTCTTTCTTTTATTTTATTGCTTTCAAAATAGCTATGTGTTCTTACACACACCCACACGACAAATTGTAGATCCATATCCACTATGGATCCCATTGATAACAATTCTGCTATTTCCAATTATGACTTTGAAAATCCGATCTACCAAGCCGAGGACGAAGGCGAGGAAGATTGTGAAGTACCTGGAGAGCTTGCTAGACTGTTAGAGCAAGAAGGAAGAGTCATACATCCGCATGAAGAGCCAGTCGAGGTTGTGAACTTGGGTACTGAAGAGGACAGGAAAAAGGTCAACATAGGTGCCAATTTAGAAGACTGTTAAAAACAGATTAATCCAAATGTTGCATGACTATGTTGAGATTTTTTCTTGGTCATACGAAGACATGTCAGGGCTTGATACTGATATTGTGGTTCACCGTCTACCAATAAAAGGAGGTTGTTCTCCAGTAAAACTGAAGGTTCATCGTATGCGTCCCGAGAAGTCTCAAAAGATCAAAGCTGAGGTTATAAAACAATTTAATGCAGGTTTCTTAGATGTTACATCCTATCCTCAGTGTGTTCCGAGAAGTCTCAAAAGATCAAAGCTGAAGTTATGAAACAGTTCAATGTAGGTTTCTTAGATGTTACATCCTATCCTCAGTGGGTTGCGAATGTGGTTCCGGTACCTAAGAAGGATGGAAAAGTGCATTTGTGTGTAGACTACAGGGATCTGAATAGGGCAAGCCCCAAAGATGACTTTCTGCTTCCACATATTGATGTTCTAGTTGACAATACCACTCAACAAAAAGTATTTTCCTTCATGGATGGTTTCTCTGGTTATAATCAAATCAAGATGGAACCTAAAGACATGGAGAATACTACCTTTGTTACACAGTGGGAAACTTTCTGCTACAAATTTATGCTTTTTGGTTTGAAGAACGCCAACGCAACATATCACCGTGCTATGGTAGATTTGTTCTATGACATGATCCATCATAAGATAGAGTTTTACTTTGATAACATGATATCCAGGTCTCAAACTGAAAAAGAACATCTCAACCATCTGTACAAACTGTTTGAGAGGTTGAAGAAATACAAGTTGAGACTGAATCCAAACAAGTGCACCTTTGAGGTAAGATCCGGTAAACTCCTAAGATTTATCGTCAGTGGTAAAGGTATTAAAGTTGATCCTACCAAGGTTAAAGCCATTCAAGAAATGTCAGCTCCCCGTACTGAGAAGGAAGTCAGAGGTTTCCTGGGACGATTGAACTACATTTCCATATTTATTTCCCATTTGACCGCTACTTGTGAGCCAATCTTCAAGTTAATAAAGAAAAATAAAGTAGTGAAGTGGAACGATGTATGTCAAAGATATTTTGACAAAATCAAGGAGTACCTTCAAGAACCTCAGATTCTGATACCTCCATTTGAAGGAAGGCCCTTGATCGTGTACTTAACAGTGTTAGATAATTCAATGGGGTGTGTACTGGGGAAGCATGACGAGTTTGGTCGAAAAGAGCATGCAATATACTACCTAAGAAAAAAATTTATCGACTGTGAAACAATATACTCACTGCTTGAGAAAACTTGCTACACTTTGGCATGGGCTACTCGCCGACAAAGACAATATATGTTGATCATACCACTTTGTTGATCTCAAAGATGGATCTAATAAAATACATCATCGAGAAGACCACTCTATCCAGAAGAATAGCAAGATGGAAATGGTCTTGACAGAATACGACATTCAGTATACCACTCAGAAAGCAATCAAAGGAATTGTATTGGCAAATCATTTGGCTCATCAGGCTGTAGACAACTACCAGACTATGAATTTCGAGTTCCCGGATGAGAATATTATGCTAGTTGTTGATTATGAAGAACCTGGAATATATGAAGGACCTGAGCCAGGATCCCGATGGACTATGGTTTTATATGGAGCTTCCAACATGCTTG